GGCCGATGCACCATTTTCTCTACACATGTGCGTAAGTTACCTTTCAAACCCTTACGTTCACTAGATGAATATATTTCCTACCTTATATTTGAGTGAGACCACTAGATTCCGTGCATTATGCGAGATCTGAGCGGTTCCGTTCTCCCAGGCATTTGCACTCTAAGTTCCCATACTGACCGACCTGGCCAATGCACCACTTTCCATATACATATGCATTAGATTCCTTCCGAACCTTATTAGCTGACTAGATTTATATATTTCCCACCTTCTGATCGAGTGAGACCGCTAGATTCCCTTTACTTTTTGAGAAATGAGCGTTTCCGTTCTCCTTGGCCCTACTTGAACTATAAGTGCGAAATGCCGGCCAGACTGGCCGACGCACCATTTTCTCTACACATGTGCGTTAGTTACCTTTCAAACCCTTACGTTCACTAGATGAATATATTTCCTACTTTCTATTTGAGTGAGACCACTAGATTCCGTGTACTATGCGAGATCTGAGCGCTTCCGTTCTCCCTGGCATTTGCATTTTAAGTTCCGATACTGACCGACCTGGCCAATGCACCATTTTCTCTATACATGTGCGTTGAATACATTTCAAACCTTTTTAGCTGACTAGATTTATATATTTCCCACCTTCTGATCGAGTGAGACCATTAGATTCCCTCTACTTTTTGAGAAACGAGCGTTTCCGTTCTCCCTGGCCCCACCTGCACTATGAGTGCGAAATGCCGGCCAGACTGGCCGATGCACCATTTTCTCTACACATGTGCGTTAGTTATCTTTCAAACCCTTACGTTCACTAGATAAATTTATTTCCTACATTCTATTTGAGTGAGACCACTAGATTCCGTGTACTATGCGAGATCTGAGCGCTTCCGTTCTCCCTGGCATTTGCATTTTAAGTTCCGATACTGACCGACCTGGCCAATGCACCATTTTCTCTATACATGTGCGTTGAATACATTTCAAACCTTTTTAGCTGACTAGATTTATATATTTCCCACCTTCTGATCAAGTGAGACCATTAGATTCCCTCTACTTTTTGAGAAACGAGCGTTTCCGTTCTCCCTGGCCCCACCTGCACTATGAGTGCGAAATGCCGGCCAGACTGGCCGATGCACCATTTTCTCTACACATGTGCGTTAGTTACCTTTCAAACCCTTACGTTCACTAGATGAATATATTTCCTACCTTATATTTGAGTGAGACCACTAGATTCCGTGTATTATGCGAGATCTGAGCGGTTCCGTTCTCCCGCGCATTTGCACTTTAAGTTCCCATACTGACCGACCTGGCCAATGCACCATTTTCCATATACATATGCATTAGATTCCTTTCGAACCTTATAAGCTCACTAGATTTATATATTTCCCAACTTCTGATCGAGTGAGAGTGCTAGATTCCCTTTACTTTTTGAGAAATGAGCGTTTCCGTTCTCCTTGGCCCTACTTGCACTATAAGTGCGAAATGCCGGCCAGACTGGCCGATGCTCCATTTTCTCTACACATGTGCGTAAGTTACCTTTCAAACCCTTACGTTCACTAGATGAATTTATTTCCTACCTTCTATTTGAGTGAGACCACTAGATTCCGTGTACTATGCGAGATCTGAGCGCTTCCGTTCTCCCTGGCATTTGCACTCTAAGTTCCCATACTGACCGACCTGGCCAATGCACCATTTTCCATATACATATGCATTAGATTCCTTTCGAACCTTATTAGCTCATTAGATTTATATATTTCCCACCTTCTGATCGAGTGAGACCGCTAGATTCCCTCTACTTTTTGAGAAATGAGCGTTTCCGTTCTCCTTGGCCCTACTTGCACTATAAGTGCGAAATGCCGGCCAGACTGGCCGATGCGCAATTTTCTCTACACATGTGCGTTAGTTACCTTTCAAACCCTTACGTTCACTAGATGCATATATTTCTTACCTTATATTTGAGTGAGACCACTAGATTCCATGTATTATGCGAGATCTGAGCGGTTCCGTTCTCCGAGGCATTTGCACTCTAAGTTCCCATACTGACTGACCTGGCCAATGCACCACTTTCCATATACATATGCATTAGATTCCTTCCGAACATTATTAGCTCACTAGATTTATATATTTCCCACCTTCTGATCGAGTGAGACCGCTAGATTCCCTTTACTTTTTGAGAAATGAGCGTTTCCGTTCTCCTTGGCCCTAGTTGCACTAAAAGTGCGAAATGCCGGCCAGACTGGCCGATGCACCATTTTCTCTACACATGTGCGTTAGTTACCTTTCAAACCCTTACGTTCACTAGATGAATTTATTTCCTACATTCTATTTGAGTGAGACCACTAGATTCCGTGTACTATGCGAGATCTGAGCCCTTCCGTTCTCCCTGGCATTTGCACTCTAAGTTCCCATACTGACCGACCTGGCCAATGCACCATTTTCCATATACATATGCATTAGATTCCTTTCGAACCTTTTTAGCTCACTATAATTATATAGTTCCCACCTTCTGATTGAGTGAGACCGCTGGATTCGCTCTACTTTTTGAGAAATGAGCGTTTCCGTACTCCTTGGCCCTAGTTGCACCAAAAGTGCGAAATGCCGGCCAGACTGGCCGATGCACCATTTTCTCTACACATGTGCGTTAGTTACCTTTCAAACCCTTACGTTCACTAGATGAATTTATTTCCTACCTTGGATTTGAGTGAGACCACTGGATTCCGTGTACTATGCGAGATCTGAGCGCTTCCGTTCTCCCTGGCATTTGCACTCTAAGTTCCCATACTGACCGACCTGGCCAATGCACCATTTTCCATATACATATGCATTAGATTCCTTCCGAACCTTATTAGCTTACTAGATTTATATATTTCCCACCTTCTGATCAAGTGAGACCGCTAGATTCCCTCTACTTTTCGAGAAATGAGCGTTTCCGTTCTCCTTGGCCCTAGTTGCACTATAAGTGCGAAATGCCGGCCAGACTGGCCGATGCACAATTTTCTCTACACATGTGCGTTAGTTACCTTTCAAACCCTTACGTTCACTAGATGAATTTATTTCCTACTTTCTATTTGAGTGAGACCACTTGATTCCGTGTACTATGCGAGATCTGAGCGCTTCCGTTCTCCCTGGCATTTGCATTTTAAGTTCCGATACTGACCGACCTGGCCAATGCACCATTTTCTCTATACATGTGCGTTGAATACATTTCAAACCTTTTTAGCTGACTAGATTTATATATTTCCCACCTTCTGATTGAGTGAGATTGTTAGATTCCCTCCACTTTTTGAGAAACGAGCGTTTCCGTTCTCCCTGGCCCCACCTGCACTATGAGTGCGAAATGCCGGCCAGACTGGCCGATGCACCATTTTCTCTTCACATGTGCGTTAGTTACCTTTCAAACCCTTACGTTCACTAGATGAATATATTTCCTATCTTATATTTGAGTGAGAACACTAGATTCCGTGTATTATGCGAGATCTGAGCGGTTCCGTTCTCCCAGGCATTTGCACTCTAAGTTCCCATACTGACCGACCTGGCCAATGCACCATTTTTTATATACATATGCATTAGATTCCTTCGGAACCTTATTAGCTCACTAGATTAATATATTTCCCACCTTCTGATCGAGTGAGACCGCTAGATTCCCTTTACTTTTTGAGAAATGAGCGTTTCCGTTCTCCTTGGCCCTACTTGCACTATAAGTGCGAAATGCCGGCCAGACTGGCCGATGCACCATTTTCTCTACACATGTGCGTTAGTTACCTTTCAAACCTTTACGTTCACTAGATGAATTTATTTCCTACCTTCTATTTGAGTGAGACCACTAGATTCTGTGTACTATGCGAGATCTGAGCGCTTCCGTTCTCCCTGGCATTTGCACTCTAAGTTCCCATACTGACCGACCTGGCCAATGCACCATTTTCCATATACATATGCATTAGATTCCTTTCGAACCTTATTAGCTCACTAGATTTATATATTTCCCACCTTCTGATCGAGTGAGACCGCTAGATTCCCTCTACTTTTTGAGAAATGAGCGTTTCCGTTCTCCTTGGCCCTAGTTGCACTATAAGTGCGAAATGCCGGCCAGACTGGCCGATGCACAATTTTCTCTACACATGTGCGTTAGTTACCTTTCAAACCCTTACGTTCACTAGATGAATATATTTCCTACTTTCTATTTGAGTGAGACCACTTGATTCCGTGTACTATGTGAGATCTGAGCGCTTCCGTTCTCCCTAGCATTTGCATTTTAAGTTCCGATACTGACCGACCTGGCCAATGCACCATTTTCTCTATACATGTGCGTTGAATACATTTCAAACCTTTTTAGCTGACTAGATTTATATATTTCCCACCTTCTGATTGAGTGAGACCGTTAGATTCCCTCTACTTTTTGAGAAACGAGCGTTTCCGTTCTCCCTGGCCCCACCTGCACTATGAGTGCGAAATGCCGGCCAGACTGGCCGATGCACCATTTTCTCTACACATGTGCGTTAGTTACCTTTCAAACCCTTACGTTCACTAGATGAATATATTTCCTACTTTATATTTGAGTGAGACCACTAGATTCCGTGTATTATGCGAGATCTGAGCGGTTCCGTTCTCCCAGGCATTTGCACTCTAAGTTCCCATACTGACCGTGTCAAACATTATATATGTTATGCTTGTGTAGGCTACAGTGGGTTAGCCTATAGGGGGTACACAATTCTAGGGTTTCCTACTTGTACTCATTTCACTGCTAGTTCATTCATTCCTGTTCGTTTATTCTCACATGGTATAGAGCGGGTCCTTCTAAGGACCGTTTTTTTGGGCCCACCGAAGCGCGCCCTGAGGCGCGATTTTTTTTTAGCGACCCCTCGGGTCGCCTTTTCCCCTGCGGCTCAGCCGCCTCCACTGACGCGGCCCCGCCGCCCTCCGTTACGTGGCCCCGTCGCAGGCACTCACGCGGCCCCGCCGCCGACTCTGTCGCGGCCCCGCCCCGGCCTTTACGCGGCCCCGCCCCGGCTCCTATGCGGCCCCGCCCCGGCCTTCACGCGGCCCCGCCGACGGCTCTGTCGCGGCCCCGCCCAGGCTCTTACGCGGCCTCGCCGCCTACTCTAGCGCGGCCCCGCCCCGGCTCCTACGCGGCCCCACCGCCGGCTCTCCTACGGCCCCGCCGCCGACTCTCCCGCGGCCCCGCCCCGGCTTTCACGCGGCCCCGCCGACGGCTCTGTCGCGGCCCCGCCCTGGCTCTTCCGTGGCCCCGTCCCGGCTCTTACGCGGCCCCTGCCCCGGCTCTCACGCGGCCCTGCCGCCGGCTCTCTTGCGGCCCCGCCCCGGCTCTCACGTGGCCCCGCCGTCGGCCCTCTCCAGGCCCCGCCGCCGGCTCTCTTACGGCTCCGTCGCCGGCCCTGACGCGGCCCCTGCCCCGGCTCTCAAGCGGCCCCGCCGCCGGCTCTTTTGCAACCCCGCCGCCGGCTCTGAAGCGGCCCCGCCCCGGCTCTGAAGCGGCCCCGCCCCGGCTCTCACGCTGCCCCGCCGCCGGCCCTCACGCGTCCCCGCCCCGGCTCTCTCACGCGGCCCCGCCGCCACACCTGCAGCAGTCGGGCAGCAGTGCAGCCGAACCGCCCGAGAGCCGAGCCGCCCAACGCCCGAGCCGCCCTGTCGCCGAGCCGCCCGGGACCCGAGCCGCCCTGCACCCGAGCCGCCCTGCCGCCGAGCCGCCCGGGAGCCGAGCCGCCCTGCACCCGAGCCGCCCTGCCGCCGAGCCGCCCGGGAGCCGAGCCGCCCTGCGCCCGAGCCGCCCAGCCGCCGAGCCGCCCGGGAGCCGAGCCGCTGTGCACCCGAGCCGCCCGGTCACCGAGCCGCCTTTCTGCAGAGCTGCACGACCTGCCCTGCCTGGTGAGCACAGTCCCACTGTCACTGCGAGCTCTTTCCCTACTGCTTGCACTGCTTCGCTGTCGTCGCCATGGCTACCCCTAGTGTCCTAGCTTTTGACGCTGAGGGTCGCGCCATTGATTTCGAGGTCTGGTTAGACAACCTGCAACTGTTCTTACAGTGCGACAGGGCTGATTGCCTTTCTCTCTTTGACCTCACCTCTGGCGCCTCTCCTGCTCCTGCTGCTGATGCTGATCCCACTGTCCGCTCTCAGTGGGCCACCCGCGATGCTGCTGCACGTCTTGCTGTGCGTCGCCACCTCCCTACCTCTGAGCGTGCGCACTTTAGTCAGTACAAGAGTGCTCAGACCTTGTACGACGCTGTAGTTGCGCGCTACTCCTCCCCTGCCACTGCTGCACTGAGCCGTCTCATGCTTCCCCACCTCTTTCCTGACCTCTCTGCCTTTCCCACTGTCGCTGACCTCATTACGCACCTCCGCACTAGTGACACTCGCTACCGCGCCGCCCTTCCTGCTGAGTTCTGCGCTAAGAACCCACCCCCCATGTACATCGCTCTCTACTACGTAGTCGCGCGCCTCCCTGACTCCCTTCGCGTCGTCAGGGACCACTTTCTCGCAGTCTGTCCCACCACCCTCACCGTTGACCTCCTTTAGAAGGCCCTCCTCGCAGCGGAGAAGAGCATAGTCGCTGTAGGTGCTTCTCGTGGTGACCCTCGCACCCCCATCTTTGAGGGGTGCTCTCCTTCCCCCTTGCTGCCCTCTGTTGCCTCTGCTGCTGCTGCCGACCTGCTTGGTCTTGAGTCGGTCGGCGCGGCGTCTGCCCCTAGTGGGAGACGTCGCTCCAGCAAGGGCAAGGGGGGCAAGGGCGCGGGTGGAGCTGGAGGGGGCGGTGGCGGTGGCGGCGGTGGCGGCGGAGGGAGTGGGGGTGGCGGCGGGACTAGTGGCGGGGGTGGTGGTGGTGGTGGCAGCAGCGGCGGAGACGGTGGTGGTGGTGGCAGCGGTGGTGGTGGAGGCAGCGGCGGAGGTGGAGGCGGCGGAGGTGGAGGCGGTGGAGGCGGCAGCGGAGGAGGCGGTGGTGGTGGAGGAGGTGGAGCTGGTCGGGGTGGTACCCAGCAGCGTAGCGGCGGTGGTGGTGGCCAGCGCTCGCAGCGGCAGCAGCAGCAGCGCTCGCGGGACATCCCTCCGCCTCAGCAGCTTCGTGAGTGGTACGCTGGGCGTCAGAGGGGTGGGGGTACTGATCCCTGCACCTACGTTCTTCGTTCCGGCGACCGCGCGGGTGAGCAGTGTGGGGGTGCCCACGCCACCCAGCGCTGCTTTGGCCGCCTGACGGACGCTTGGCGTCAGCAGTTCCCTGGGGCTAGTGAGATCCCTCGCTGGGATGAGCTTCTTAGGGCTGGTGTAGCGATCTTTGATCTTGATTTTGATGCTATCCTTGCTGCTATGTATGCTGTGACTTATAGTGAGGAGAATGAGGGTTACCGGTGTTTCCAGCCCGACCCGGGCATTGGTACTGCTGCGCTAGGTGCTTGTGAGGCTGCTGCTCTAGGTGCCAGTGCGTCTGCGCTCTCAGGTACTGGTGAGACTGCGCTCTCAGGTAATGCGTCGTCCTCGTCCTCCCTCACTTTCACACTTGACTCCGGGGCTTCTCGCTCCTTCTTTCGAGACCGCACTACCCTTACGCCGCTCGGCCGGCCGGTTGCAGTCTCCCTTGCTGACCCCTCTGGGGGTCCTGTCCTGTCTCACTTCTCCACTGTCCTCCCGTGTCCGGCTGCCCCTTCGGGCACCCTGTCTGGTCTGTACCTTCCCTCGTTCTCTACGAACTTGGTGAGTGGTGCAGCCCTGCAGGATGCGGGGGTTCACCAGTTCACTCCTGCGATTCAGCGGGTGACCCACTGCACGGACGCACGCACAGGCCGACACCTGGCCACCTTCTCACGTCGGCCGGGGTCGAGTCTCTACACCCTGACCACTTCGTCTCCTCCTGTCCCTGCGTCCGGTCAGGTAGCTGCGTCAGGTCAGGTGCTTGCTGCTGCGTCCCGGTCAGGTCCTGAGTCTGCCCCCTGTTCTTGTCGCCTCCTGTCTCACGAGACTCTCCTGTGGCACCACCGTCTTGGCCACCCCTCCTTGCCCCGTCTTCGGAGCATGGCTTCCCGTGTCCTTGTCTCTGGTCTTCCCCAGTCTCTCCCTCCTCTCCCCTCCGGGCCAGGACCTTCCTGTGTCCCGTGTGTCGAGGGTCGCCTCCGGGCTACTCCTCACTCCTTTCACTTCCCCCCGACAGAGGCTCCCCTGCAGACGCTTCACATGGATGTGTGGGGCCCAGCCCCCGTCCGTGGGCAGGGTCACGAGCGCTACTTTCTGTTGGTGGTTGACGACTACTCGCGTTACACCACACTCCTCCCCTTGCGCAGCAAGGGTGCGGTCATTGAGGTGCTGATCGACTGGATCCGCGAGGCTCGTCTCGAGCTCAGGAAGAGCTTCGGCTCGGACTTTCCTGTTCTGCGTCTGCACTCGGACAGAGGCGGAGAGTTCTCTTCTCGCCTTCTGCGAGACTACTGTCGTGGACGGGGGATCCGCCAGACCTTCACGCTTCCGGACTCTCCACAGCAAAATGGGATTGCTGAGCGCCGCATTGGCATGGTCATGGATGTCGCTCGTACGTCCATGATGCATGCGGCTGCCCCCCATTTTCTGTGGCCGTTTGCGGTGAGGTACGCGGCGCATCAGCTCAACCTTCACCCCCGGGTCTCTCGGCCTGCGATGTCCCCAGCCTTGCTGTGGACGGGGAAGGTAGGCGATGCGTCTGTGTTCCGTGTCTGGGGATCTCGGGCGTTTGTCCGCGACTTGTCTGCGGACAAGCTGTCCCCTCGTGCTGCTCCCTGTGTCTTCCTTGGCTTCCCCACTGACGCCCCAGGGTGGCAGTTTTACTACCCCTCCTCTCGTCGTGTTCTGTCCTCCCAGGACGTCACGTTCGACGAGTCAGTCCCCTTCTACCGTCTCTTCCCCTACCGCACTCCTTCCCTCCCCCCTCCCCCGGACTTCCTTGTGCCGGTTCCCCCCCCGGTAGACCCCCTCCTCCCTCAGGTTCCTGCCCCCTCGGGTGTGTCCCAGGTAGACGCCGTTGACCCGGTCGAGGTTACTGGTGACTCTGGTGCTGCTGCGGGTGCTGAGCCTGGGGGTGCTGACTCTGGGGGTGCTGTGCGCGGGGGTGCTGAGCCTGGGGGTGCTACTGCTGGGGGTGCTGGGCCTGGGGGTGCTGCTGCGGAGGGTGCGGAGCCTGGGGGTGCTGAGCCGGGGGGTGCTGTGCCTGGAGGTGCTGGGTCTGGGGGTGCTGGGTCGGGAGCTGCTGAGCCTGGGGGTGCTGAGCTGGGAGCTGCTGAGCCTGGGGGTGCTGCGTCTGGAGCTGCTGAGCCTGGGGTTTCTCCTGCTGCTGCGTCTCGCCGGGAGCCCCTGTCTCCACAGGAGCTGCGCGAGTGGTTCGCTCGCCGCTGGAGGCGTGCTGCTGAGTCTGGAGGTGCTGCTGGAGCTGGAGCTGGAGCTTCTTCGACCGTCGAGGGTGCGGGTGCTGCCGGTCCCGGAGCTGCTAGACCTGCGGGTCCTCCTGGAGCTGGAGCTGCTGAGGGCGTTGGTGCTGAGCCTACTACTGTTGGTCCTGCCGCTGGAGGTGTGGGTGGCGCTGGTGCTGTTGCTGAGGGTGCAGGTGCTGTCCCTGCTGAGTCTGGAGCTGCCGCGCGGCCTCGGCCGTACTTCGTTCCGCTCCTGTAGCAGGTTCTTGGTCTTTCTCCTCCAGTAGAGGGTCCACCGCCTGTCCAGTCGAAGTCCCTGCTGGAGCCTTCCTCTCCACTACCTGCTCCCTCTCCTTACACTGGTCCTACTGGAGGTCTTGCTGAGCGTCGTGAGCCTGCGTCTCGTCCCGCGTCGCCTGTTCGTGCTGCTCGCGCTAGTGGTCGCAGTTCGCGTTAGCGTCCTCCTCCTGTCCCTTGCACGCACCGGATGTCTTTGCGTCCGTCCACTGCTCCTCTGCGTGCCCCTTTGCCTTCTCCTCCTGAGTCCTCTCTTCCTGCGCTTGCCGACCCTGAGTCGGACTCTCTTCGTGCTGCCAGTCCTACTGTCACGCGTCTGCTTGCTACTGTCGTCACTGACCCCTCTTTTGAGTCCACTGCTGCGTCTGCTCTAGTCGCTGAGCTCGTCGACTTTGCTGCTCGCTGTCGTCTCGACTACGCTGCTAGTCTTGTGGCTGAGTCTGCGTCTGTCTGTCCTCCGTCCGTCGGGGGTGAGTGTGCTCTTGGCACGGACGTCCTAGAGGACAGGCAGGAGGAGTTACAGTGTCTAGCGGCTGCTTCACCTCATCTCGCGTCTGTACTGCTTGCCCCTGAGGGAGACCCGGATGCACTAGACATCCCGACTCCGCGTTCTTACGCGGAGGCCGTAGAGGGTCCCTACTCCTCTCAGTGGCAGGTAGCTATGGATGCAGAGATGGCTTCCTGGAAGTCCACAGGCACCTACGTTGACGCGGTTCCCCCTCCTGGGGCGAACATCGTCAGTGGCATGTGGATCTTCAGGGTGAAGCGGCCGCCGGGCTCTCCACCTGTCTTCAAGGCACGGTACGTTGCTCGTGGCTTCAGTCAGCGGCAGGGAGTTGACTACTTTCAGACCTTCTCTCCCACCCCGAAGATGACTACTCTTCGGGTGCTGCTGCACATAGCCGCTCAGCGCGACTACGAGCTTCACTCTCTCGACTTCAGCACTGCGTTTCTGCAGGGTAGCCTGCACGAGGAGATCTGGCTGCGCCGTCCGCCTGGCTTCACTGGGACTTTCCCTCCTGGCACCCAGTGGAGCCTCCGACGGCCAGTCTACGGTCTCCGCCAGGCACCGCGTGAGTGGCACGACACACTGAGGACTACGCTTGCGGCTCTTGGGTTTGCTCCTTCTACTGCTGACCCGTCGCTGTTTCTTCGCACCGACACTTCTCTGCCGCAGTTCTACATCCTCGTGTACGTCGACGACTTGGTCTTTGCCACAGCGGACACTGCTGGACTCGCCTACGTGAAGTCCGAGCTGCTGAAGAGACACACGTGCACAGACCTGGGTGAACTGCGCAGCTACCTTGGCTTGCATATCACTCGGGACAGAGCACGCCGCACCATTACCTTGACTCAGTCACACATGGTGCAGCAGGTCCTTCAGCGCTTCGGCTTCACGTACTCCTCGCCTCAGGCCACTCCTCTGCCTACTCGCCACTCACTCTCAGCTCTGCCTTCGGATGAGTCCGTAGAGTCGAGTGGTCCGTATGCAGAGCTTGTTGGCTGCCTCATGTACCTGATGACCTGCACACGACCTGACCTTGCATACCCTCTGAGCATTCTTGCACGCTATGTTGCTCCTGGGAGACACCGACCAGAGCACATGGCAGCAGCGAAGAGGGTATTGCGCTACCTGTGCAGTACGTCGGGCATGGGGCTAGTGCTTGGAGGGCGGAGTCCAGTGGTCCTCACAGGTCACGCGGACGCTTCTTGGGCTGACGACCAGGCTACGCAGCGGTCGTCACAGGGTTACACCTTCAGCCTTGGTTCCGGCTCTGTCTCGTGGCGGTCTACTCGCTCGTCTTCAGTTCTCGGCTCCAGTTGAGAGGCTGAGATCTACGCCGGGGCCATGGCTGCACAGGAGCTTCGCTGGCTCACCTACCTGCTGACTGACCTTGGAGAGCCGCCTCGTTCTCCTCCAGTGCTGTACGTAGACAACAAGGCCATGCTGGCCTTGTGTCGAGAGCAGCGCTTGGAGCACAGAACGAAGCACATTGCTCTCCGCTACTTCCTTGCTCGTGAGCTGCAGCAGCGTGGTCAGTTGCGACTTGCGTACGTGGCCTCTGAGGCCAACACTGCTGATGTGTTCACCAAGGCACTCGCGCCTTGTGACCATCAGCGCTTTTGCACCCAGCTGGGTCTTGTGCCTGTCTTGCCTCACTTGCTCTCCTCTTGACTTCACTTGTACTGTGACATATATATATACCTGCTCTTGCTTGTCTAGTTTTATATATATGTCTGTCCTCCTGCATGTGAACTGGCCTCTGGCCCTGCTCTTGTGCTCGGACTGTGTGGTGACTTTGTGATCCACCCTGAGCTTGCTTTGCTTTGCTTGACTGGTCTTGTGACCCCTTGTTCTCCCCCACTTTGCCTATGGGGGTGTGTCAAACATTATATATGTTATGCTTGTGTAGGCTACAGTGGGTTAGCCTATAGGGGGTACACAATTCTAGGGTTTCCTACTTGTACTCTTTTCACAGCTAGTTCATTCTCCCCTGTTCACTTCTTTCTCACTCCTTGGCCCTACTTGCACTATAAGTGCGAAATGCCAGCCAGACTGGCCGATGCACCATTTTCTCTACACATGTGCGTTAGTTACCTTTGAAACCCTTACGTTCACTAGATGAATTTATTTCCTACCTTCTATTTGTGTGATACCACTAGATTCCGTGTACTATGCGAGATCTGAGCGCTTCCGTTCTCCCTGGCATTTGCACTCTAAGTTCCCATACTTACCGACCTGGCCAATGCACCATTTTCCATATACATATGCATTAGATTCCTTTCAAACCTTATTAGCTCACTAGATTTATATATTTCCCACCTTCTGATCGAGTGAGACCGCTAGATTCCCTCTACTTTTTGAGAAATAAGCATTTGCGTTCTCCTTGGCCCTAGTTGCACTATAAGTGCGAAATGCCGGCCAGACTGGCCGATGCACAATTTTCTCTCCACATGTGCGTTAGTTACCTTTCAAACCTTTTCTTTCACTAGATGAATATATTTCCTACTTTCTATTTGAGTGAGACCACTTGATTCCGTGTACTATGCGAGATCTGAGCGCTTCCGTTCTCCCTGGTATTTGCATTTTAAGTTCCGATACTGACCGACCTGGCCAATGCACCATTTTCTCTATAGATGTGCGTTGAATACATTTCAAACCTTTTTAGCTGACTAGATTTATATATTTCCCACCTTCTGATCGAGTCAGACTGTTAGATTCCCTCTACTTTTTGAGAAACGAGCGTTTCTGTTCTCCCTGGCCCCACCTGTTCTATGAGTGCGAAAACCCGGCCAGACTGGCCGATGCACCATTTTCTCTACACATGTGCGTGTCAGATTATTATAGCTGATGCATGTTTGTAGGCTATAGTGGGGTAGCACATATGGGGTACAGTTTGCTAGGGTTGTATTTGTACCCAACTCTGACTTAGTCAATTCATTCCTGTTCATTCCTTTCACATGGTATAGAGCGGGTTCCCTGTGGGAACTTCGCCTAGGGCCCACCGAAGCGCGCCCCGAGGCGAGCGATCCTTTTTTTAGCGACCCCCCCGAGTCGCCCTTCCCCTGCGGCCCCGCCACCCTTCGTTCGCGGCCCCGCCGTCCAGTCGCGGCCCCGCCCTTACGTCGCGGCCCCGCCCTTAAGTCGCGGCCCCGCCACTAAGACGCGGCCCCGCCACCCAGTCGCGGCCCCGCCGCCTACTCGGACGCGGCCCCGCCGCCTTCTAAGACGCGGCCCCGCCGCCTGCTCAGCCGCGGCCCCGCCGCCCTCTACGACACGGCCTCCGCCGCCTGCAGACGCCGCAGCCTCCGCCGCCTGCTCAGCCGCGACCCCGCCGCCCGCTACGACGCGGCCTCCGCCGCCTGCTCAGCCGCGGCCCCGCCGCCCTCTACGACGCGGCCTCTGCCGCCTGCTCAGCCGCGGCCCTGCCGCCTCCTACGACGCGGCCCCGCAGCCTGCTCAGCCGCGGGTGCTTCCAGCGGCCCTCCGCTGCACCCTGCGGCCCCGCCACTGCGCCTGTCCCGGCTCCGCCACTGCACCCTGACGGCCCCGCCGTCCCCTGTCTCGGCCCCACCGCTGCACCCTGAAGGCCCCGCCGTCCCTTGTCCCGGCCCCGCCACTACACTGCAGCCGAGCCGCCCAGCAGCAGCCGAGCCGCCCAACAGCAGCCGAGCCGCCCAGCAGCAGCCGAGCCGCCCAGCAGCAGCCGAGCCGCCCAGCAGCAGCCGAGCCGCCCAGCAGCAGCCGAACCGCCCAGCAGCAGCCGAGCCGCCCAGCAGCAGCCGAGCCGCCCGGTACCTGAGCCGCCCGAGCCGCCCGAGCCGCCCGAGCCGCCCGAGTCGCTCGAGCCGCCCGAGCCGCCCGAGCCGCCCGAGCAGCCCGAGCCGCCTGCTGCTGACCTACCCGACTCTCCCATCCCGGTGAGACTTTCAGCTGCTGCCATGGCCACCCCCAATGTTCTCACTTTTGACGCTGAGGGGAGGGCCATTGACTTTGCCGTCTGGATCGAGGACCTGCAGCTGTACTTACTGTGTGATGCGGTAGATGAGGTCTCTCTCTTTGACTTTGTCTCTGGCGCTGTCCCTGCCCCGCCTGCTGATGCTGACTCTGCCGTTCGCTCCAAGTGGGCGACCCGCGATGCTGCTGCACGTCTTGCTGTGCGTCGCCACCTCCCTTCCTCTGAGCGTGCCCACTTTAGTCAGTGCAAGACCGCTCAGGCCTTGTACGACGCTGTAGTTGCGCGCTACTCCTCCCCTTCCTCCGCTACCCTTAGCCGCCTCATGCTACCGTTTCTCTTCCCTGACCTCGCTTCCTTTCCCACTGTCGCTGACCTCGTTACCCACCTCCGCGCTAGTGACACCCGCTACCGCGCTGCCCTTCCTGCTGAGTTCCGCGCTGCGAACCCTCCTCCCATGTACATCACTCTCTACTTTCTCGTCACCCGTCTCCCTGAGTCCCTTCGTGTCGTTAGGGACCAGTTTCTCTCTGTCTGTCCCACCACTCTCACTGTCGACCTCCTTGAGGAGTCCCTGCTAGCGGCTGAGAAGAGTATTGTCGCTGTAGGGGCCTCTCGGGGTGACCCTCGCACCCCCATCTTTGAGGGGTGTGGTCCCTCCCCCCTGCTGCCCTCTGTCGCCTCTGCCGCTGCGGCCGACGTCGTTGGTTTTGAGTCGGTCGGCGCGGCGTCTGCCCCCAGTGGCAGACGCCGCACTGGCAAGGGCAAGGGGGGCAAGGGAGCGGGTGGAGCCAGAGGGGGCGGTGGAGGAGGCGGTGGGGGTGGAGGGGGGGGTGGGGGTGGCGGGGGGGGGTGGTGGCGGGAGTGTAGGTAGTAGTGGCGGCGGTGGAGGCGGAGGTGGCGGCGGAGGTGGTAGCGGAGGAGGCGGTGGGAGCGGTGGGAGCGACGGTCCTGGTGGGGGAGGTGGCGGTGGCGACGGGGGTGGCGGTGGAGGCGGGGGTGGCGGTGGAGGAGGGGGTCGGAGTGGCTCGTCCCAGCGGAGCAGCTCTGGGGGTGGTCAGCGCCAGCAGCAGCAGCAGCAGCAGCCGCAGCAGCAGCCGCAGCAGCAGCAGCGCTCTCGCACCGTCCCCGGCCCTCAGCAGCTCCGTGAGTGGTACTTGCATCGTCAGCGCGGTGGTGCGCTTGGTCCCTGCCCCTACGTTCTTCGCACTGGTGACCGTGCAGGGGAGAGGTGTGGAGGCGCCCACACGGCCCGTCGCTGCTTTGGCCGCCTGACCGACGCCTGGCGTCAGCAGTTTCCGGAGGCCGCTGAGATCCCCCGCTGGGGAGAGCTGTCTAGGGCTGGTGTAGCTATTTATGATCTTGATTTTGATGCTATTCTCTCTGCTATGTATGCTGTGACTGGTAGTGATGAGGATGACTGTTACCGGTGTTTCCCGCCCGACCCGGGCATTGGTACTGCCGCGTCAGGTACTAGTGAGGCTGCTGCTCTAGGTGCCAGTGCGTCTGTGCTTTCAGGTACTGGTGAGTCCGCCCTCTCAGGTACTGTGTCGGCTTCGGCCTCTCACACCTTCACCCTTGACTCTGGAGCGTCTCGCTCCTTCTTTAGGGACCGCACCACTCTCACGCCGCTGAGTCGGCCTGTTGCGGTGTCCCTGGCGGACCCCTCTGGGGGGCCTGTCCTGTCTCGCTTCTCCACTGTCCTCCCGTGTCCGGCGGCCCCCTCTGGCACCCTGACTGGTCTCTACCTCCCCTCGTTCTCGACGAACTTGGTGAGTGGTGCTGACCTCCAGGATGCAGGTGTCCACCAGTTCACCCCTGCTCGTCAGCGGGTGACCCACTGTACGGAGGCGGATACAGGTCGCCACCTGGCTACGTTTACACGTCGGCCGGGGTCGAGCCTGTACACACTGACCACTGCTTCTCCTCCAGGTACTGCGTCTGGTAGGGCCCCTTCGTCTGGTCAGGTGTTTGCTGCAGCGTCCAGGTCTGGTCCTGAGTCTGCCCCTTGTTCGTGTCGTCGTCTGTCTCACGAGACCCTCCTCTGGCACCATCGCCTTGGCCACCCCTCTCTGCTTCGGCTCAGAGGCATGGCCTCGCGGGTCCTTGTGTCTGGTCTTCCCCGGTCCCTCCCTCCCCTTCCTCCGGGCCCTGGCCCTGCCTGTGTCCCCTGTGTCGAGGGGCACCAGCGTGCTGCCCCTCACTCCTCCCAGTTTCCTCCGACAGAGGCCCCGTTGCAGACGCTTCACATGGACGTGTGGGGCCCAGCCCGCGTCCGTGGACAGGGTCAGGAGCGCTACTTCCTGCTGGTGGTTGACGACTACTCGCGTTACACCACAGTCTTCCCCTTGCGCAGCAAGGGTGAGGTCACTCAGGTGTTGATCGACTGGATCCGCGCAGCTCGTCTTCAGCTTCGGAGAAGCTTTGGCTCTGACTTCCCTGTCTTGCGTCTGCACTCGGACAGAGGCGGAGAGTTCTCCTCTGCCCTCCTGAGTGCCTACTGTCGTGTGCGAGGCATCCGTCAGACCTTCACGCTTCCGGACTCACCACAGCAGAATGGGATCGCTGAGCGCCGCATTGGCATGGTCATGGACGTCGCTCGTACGTCCATGATGCATGCGGCTGCTCCCCATTTTCTGTGGCCGTTTGCGGTCAGGTACGCTGCGCACCAGATCAACCTCCACCCCAGGGTCTCTCGACCGGAGACCTCCCCAGCTCTGTTGTGGACGGGGAAGGTTGGCGATGCGTCGGCGTTCCGGGTCTGGGGATCTCGGGCGTTTGTTCGCGACCTGTCTGCGGACAAGCTGTCCCCTCGTGCTTCTCCCTGCGTCTTCCTCGGGTTCCCCCCCGACGCCCCTGGGTGGCAGTTTTACCACCCCACCTCTCGACGTGTTCTGTCCTCCCAGGACGTCACGTTCGACGAGTCGGTACCCTACTACCGCCTCTTCCCCTACCGCACTCCGTCCCTCCCCCCACCCCCGCTCTTCTTGGTACCAGGTCCCCCCCCAGTAGTCCCCCTCCCCCCTCAGGGTCCTGCCCCTTCAGGTGTGTCTCAGGTAGACGCGGTCGAGCCTGTCGAGGTCACTGGTGACTCCGGTGCTGCTGCGGGAGCTGAGCCTGGGGGTGCGGAGTCTAGGGGTGCTGAGCCTGGAGGTGCTGAGCCTGGGGGTGCGGAGTCTGGGGGTGCTGGGCCTGGGGGTGCTGAGCCTGGGGGTGCTGTGCCTGGGGGTGCTGAGCCTGGGGGTGCTGTGCCTGGGGGTGCTGTGTCTGGGGGTACTGAGCCTGGGGGTGCTGAGCCTGGGGGTGCTGAGCCTCGAGGTGCCGAGCCTGGAGGTGCTGTGCCTGGGGGTGCTTCGTCTCGCCGGGAGCCGCTCTCTCCACAGGAGCTGCGTGAGTGGTTTGCCCGGCGCTGGAGGCGTGCCGCTGGTGCTGGTGGTTCTTCGGCTGCGGAGGGCGCTGCTGCCACGCGACCTGGCGGTGCTCGTCCTGTGGGTGCTGGAGCTGCTGGGTCTGAGGGTTCTCCTGGAGCTGGTCCTGCTGAGGACGTTGGCGCTGAACCTGCGGTTGGTGGTCCGACTGACGGTGCTCCTGGTGCTGCTGCTGGAGGTTCTGGAGCTTCTGGTGGTTCTGCTGGAGGTGCTGCTGGAGTGGGTGCTCCGGCCGGAGCTGCTGGTTCTGTTCCTGCTGTTTCTGGCGTCGCCGCGCGGTCTCGACCGTACTTCGTTCCGCTCCTGGAGCAGGTTCTTGGTCTTGCTCCTCCTCCTCCTCCCTTAGAGGGTCCGCAGCCTGTCCGGTCACAGCCACAGTTCGAGCCTGCCTCCCCTTTGCCTGCTCCTTCTCCCTACGCTGGTCCGACTGGAGGCCTTACTGAGCGTCGTGAGCCTGCGTCTCGTCCTGCGTCGCCTGTTCGTACTGAGCGCGCTAGTGGTCGCGGGTCGCGTCAGCGTCCTCCTCCTGTCCCTGGCACGCACCGGATGTCACTGCGTCCGTCCACTGCTCCTCTGCGTGCCCCTTTGCCTTCTCCTCCTGCTTCCTCTCTTCCTGCTCTTGCCGACCCGGAGTCGGACTCTCTTCGTGCTGCCAGTCCTACTGTCACGCGTCTCCTTGCTACTGCTGTCACTGACCCTTCCTTCGAGTCGTCTGCTGCGTCTGCCCTTGTCACTGAGCTTGTCGACTTTGCTGCGCGCTGTCGTCTAGACTACGCTGCTCGTCTTGTCGCTGAGTCAGAGTCCGCCTGTCCTCCGTCCGTCGGGGGTGAGTGTGCCCTTGGCACGGACGTCCTTAGAGGACAGGCAGGAGGAGTTCCAGTGTCTAGCCGCTGCTTCACCTCGTCTCGCGTCTGTACTGCTAGCCCCTGAGGGAGACCCGGATGCACTAGACATCCCGACTCCGCGTTCTTACGCGGAGGCCGTAGAGGGTCCCTACTCCTCTCAGTGGCAGGCAGCTATGGATGCAGAGATGGCTTCCTGGAAGTCCACAGGCACCTACGTTGACGCGGTTCCCCCTCCTGGGGCGAACATCGTCAGTGGCATGTGGATCTTCAGGGTGAAGCGGCCGCCGGGCTCGCCGCCTGTCTTCAAGGCGCGTTACGTGGCTCGTGGCTTCAGTCAGCGGCAGGGAGTTGACTACTTTCAGACCTTCTCTCCCACCCCGAAGATGACCACTCTTCGGGTGCTGCTGCACATTGCCGCTCAGCGCGACTACGAGCTTCACTCTCTCGACTTCAGCACTGCGTTCCTGCAGGGTAGCCTGCACGAGGAGATCTGGCTGCGCCGTCCGCCTAGCTTCACTGGGACTTTCCCTCCTAGCACCCAGTGGAGCCTCCGACGGCCAGTCTACGGTCTCCGCCAGGCACCGCGTGAGTGGCACGACACACTGAGGACTACGCTTGCGGCTCTTGGGTTTGCTCCTTCTTACTGCTGACCCGTCGCTGTTTCTTCGCACCGACACTTCCCTGCCGCCGTTCTACATCCTCGTGTACGTCGACGACTTGGTCTTTGCCACAGCGGACACTGCTGGACTCGCCTACGTGAAGTCCGAGCTGCTGAAGAGACACACGTGCACAGACCTGGGTGAACTGCGCAGCTACCTTGGCTTGCAGATCACTCGGGACAGAGCACGCCGCACCATTACCCTGACTCAGTCACACATGGTGCAGCAGGTCCTTCAGCGCTTCGGCTTCACGTACTCCTCGCCTCAGGCCACTCCTCTGCCTACTCGCCACTCACTCTCAGCTCTGCCTTCGGATGAGTCCGTAGAGTCGAGTGGTCCGTATGCAGAGCTTGTTGGCTGCCTCATGTACCTGATGACCTGCACACGACCTGACCTTGCATACCCTCTGAGCATCCTTGCACGCTATGTTGCTCCTGGGAGACACCGACCAGAGCACATGGCTGCAGCGAAGAGGGTATTGCGCTACCTGTGCAGTACGTCGGGCATGGGGCTAGTGCTTGGAGGGCGGAGTCCAGTGGTCCTTACTGGGCACGCAGACGCTTCTTGGGCTGACGACCAGGCTACGCAGCGGTCGTCACAGGGTTACACCTTCAGCCTTGGTTCCGGCTCTGTCTCGTGGCGGTCTACTCGCTCGTCTTCGGTTCTCGGCTCCAGTTGTGAGGCTGAGATCTACGCCGGGGCCATGGCTGCACAGGAGCTTCGCTGGCTCACCTACCTGCTGACTGACCTTGGAGAGCTGCCTCGTTCTCCTCCAGTGCTGTACGTAGACAACAAGGCCATGTTGGCCTTGTGTCGAGAGCAGCGCTTGGAGCACAGAACGAAGCACATTGCTCTCCGCTACTTCCTTGCTCGTGAGCTGCAGCAGCGTGGTCAGTTGCGACTTGCTTACGTGGCCTCTGAGGCCAACACTGCTGATGTGTTCACCAAGGCACTTGCGCCTTGCGACCATCAGCGCTTTTGTACCCAGCTGGGTCTTGTACCTGTCTTGCCTCACTTGCTCTCTTCTTGACTTTACTTGTACTTTGACATATATATACCTGCTCTTGCTTGTCTAGTTTTATATATATGTCTGTACTCCTGCATGTGAACTGGCCTCTGGCCTTGCTCTTGTGCTCGGACTGTGTGGTGACTTTGTGATCCACCCTGAGCTTGCTTTGCTTTGCTTGACTGGTCTTGTGACCCCTTGTTCTCCCCCACTTTGCCTATGGGGGTGTGTCAGATTATTATAGCTGATGCATGTTTGTAGGCTATAGTGGGGTAGCACATATGGGGTACAGTTTGCTAGGGTTGTATTTGTACCCAACTCTGAACTTAGTCAATTCATTCCTGTTCATTCCTTGCACAGTGCGTTATTTACCTTTCAAACCCTTACGTTCACTAGATGAATATATGTCCTACCTTATATTTGAGTGAGACCACTAGATTCCGTGTATTGTGCGAGATTTGAGCGGTTCCGTTCTCCCAGGCATTTGCACTCAAAGTTCCCATACTGACCGACCTGGCCAGGCACCACTTTCCATATAC